TCTGGTAAAAAATAGTTTTAGGGATCGGAATCTTATATCTCAAGTTTAAATGCCCTACGGGTATATTTCCCAATACATGTATTTTGGAAGCCAATAAGAAGGATAAGAAAATCAGCAAAAAGATAAAAAGTTCTCTTTTCAATGCTTCTTATAACATCAAAGTATTAAATGAAGCCTAGAATTAGAAAGGTTTGGAAAATATCTTACCCAAAAGAATCATCAAAGACAAAAGGCAGCATGCCTGTGCGGTCCTTGTCAGTATCGGTCCAAATATGGCTGTTCCGATCATATGACAAATGGTTAAGGCACCTTTACAAGGCAGAGTGTGAAAGGAAATGACTGCATGAAAACTTCTATGTACCTTCTCATGCTGACAAAACCATTTGGCTTTCCCTCTTTAAAAGTTGAATTCGCAAAAAGAGCCGTTGCTATCTGTCATAAAGATAACACTGATTACACCACACTGCACTGACCAAATTCCCTAACAAAAAAATGTGAATATTACTTACAGGCTGTAGAGCAAGGCCAGCACGAAATTTCCTGATCATGTCTGCTTCTGAACTAAAGTCCAGATTGACCTATAAAATTAAAAAAAAAAAATTACTATCCAGCATCAGAGCAGCTTACATTGTGTCAAAAGATACTGTTTTAACAAATTTAAATTAGGATGACTTTGTTAAAAGCAATCTTGAAAATCATCACATATATACCTGTACAGTGCATGTCCTGAACATCATGTCAAGCCCCAGAGAACCAACTTTAGGCATGTAATTCCTCATAATATCATATCTTCCCTGTGGCAACACATAGTCAGAAAGTAGGTGATTGAACAACCAAAGGTCAAGAATAAACTGTCTCATTTTCAGTTAAAACAAAGAATAGGACCCGCTGACAGAACTTCGCATATAACAAATAAAAATAAATAAAAAAACCACCAACAGGGATAGAACATTGAAAAACAAGGTTTAGCACAGAGACGAAATACAAGAGTGAGAGATAAGAAATTAAAATAAAATGGAAAGAAGAGCTTTAAGGTTGCCACAGTTTGGGTCATCAGAGTTGGAACTGGCAGCTGATGGTACAGGGAGAAGGGCTACAATTGGCCCACGCAAGCAGAAGAATGAAGAAAGGTTTTAAAACAATTTGCCTAAAAAAGGTCCAAATCCATTATGAAAGCCACAAAATGTGAAATGGCAGAAAGCAGCACAAAGCAGGAGGCAAGTGGCAGGGGGCAACGAAACTTCCCATAATTCCTTTAAGGCCCTATCATAACTGTTATTTAACAACTATGATAGATAGTGAATAGGTATGACTGAAATTTGACAGCTATGTAACCTGAAATCAGGAAACCCAACCAAATTCATGAAAATACAACTAAAATGAGATGGTGCCTATGATGCACTGATACATATGTGTATCAGACAATACATGTCCGATATGGCAATACACTCATTCTGAAAATAACATGATACGATATATATACACATTGAAAAATGTATAAAAATTCCTAAAACTTGATAAATATACAATTGCATTGTTCACATCCAACTTAAAATCACATTTATTAGACATTGACACAAAAAATTATAAATTATTGTCATCATAAAAGTATTGGTCAAGTATCCTAGAGGACTGAATACTCATACGTGACACAAACTGAAGTATTGGTGTAACATAGGATGACATCTTTCTTTTATTAGCTTGGCAAAGTAATAACTGATGCAGTCAGGAAGTGACATCTGAGGAAGATTTTTATGCTGAGATATTAGTATCTGTTCAACATTTCAAGAAATTTAAATAGGGGTTGAAAGAAAAGTACTACCTTTGGCATTACAGGTATGTCTTTGATTCCCCACTTTGGCTGGAAACCAATTCCCAAAAATCCAATTCCCATTTCCTCAGCTACAGCTTTAACCTATAAACACAAGTATATGGAAATAATTACAGATCTGAAAGAAATAGGACCACTCATCAGATAACAGAAACATTAAACACACAAAACTAGCATTAAATTTAGCTATCTATCACGTCACAACTTAAAAAGATAAAAGACCACACCCACAATGGTATACATATTTATCCAAAAAAATAATGATTCCACAGAAAATCACACATTTATTTTGCTAACAGCAAAACAACAGATCTCCCTCACAAGAACATGTGGCCTACCTGATAAAGGTGGGAATTAACTTCAGCACAAGTCTGGTGCAAGGTTTCAAGGGGGGCTCCACTAAGTTCAAACTGACCACCGGGCTCCAATGATATGCTCTGCTTTCCCTGGTTCACATAAAGCACAAAAAAAATTCAAATCTTCAACTGTAACAATGCATGCAATTTAAACAAATGAATTAAACTGTAATTGCCCAAGAAATGTTTGACATTCTTGTTCATTCAAAATTTAACTAACCTGTTTGAGTCCAATAATTTTATCACCTTCCATTATTTTATCCCAGTCAAATCTCTCAGCGATTCCATTCAATAATTCTGCTATTTGCTCATACTTCATAGGACGCAAACTTCCAAACTCAAAACCAAACTTCTCGTGTTCAGTACCTATTCTGCTAGACAAGATTAAGGAATTAACCACTTATAGACATACAAAGTAGTCATCAACATCACAGACACCTCAAATTTTAAACCTTCAAGAAAATTAGTGAGGTGCTATATAAACTTAACTAAAATCACAAACAAGAAAAGAAAATATAAAGATAAAGGTCTCCTCGTAATAAACAAACACGAGACCAGGGGAAAATGTTTTTCCTCTGTCTATTTGAGCATTGGTCCAGTGTGGATGACTGCTCCAGCAATTGAAGCATTTTTATTTTTATTTTTCTTTCATTTATAATTGTCAAAACCAAGGGTTTAAAATGATAGTTGTGATTGTGATTGTGGTTATTGTTGCAGTTTTATGGTGATCCTTGATATTGCAGATAATTACAGACAAATGTGGAAGTTGTCAGAGGCAATGGCAGTAGCTGGACCGCAAAAACCTCCGTGTTACAGTTGCAATTACGGTCACAGATACTTACATTCTCTACGTTGTAACCCGTATTCTATCGGGGGACCAGCAATAGTCACATTGTTGCTGAAATAGAAAATGAAACCAGGACAAAAAACAAGACTTACTACATTAGAACCATAAACCAAGTCAGCGCAGTTGTATCAGCTTACAAAGGAGTCTAATTAATAATCATCTCAATTCTACTGCAACAGAATCCATTACCGAAGTGCTGAATTTTTNTTAAAATGATAGTTGTGATTGTGATTGTGGTTATTGTTGCAGTTTTATGGTGATCCTTGATATTGCAGATAATTACAGACAAATGTGGAAGTTGTCAGAGGCAATGGCAGTAGCTGGACCGCAAAAACCTCCGTGTTACAGTTGCAATTACGGTCACAGATACTTACATTCTCTACGTTGTAACCCGTATTCTATCGGGGGACCAGCAATAGTCACATTGTTGCTGAAATAGAAAATGAAACCAGGACAAAAAACAAGACTTACTACATTAGAACCATAAACCAAGTCAGCGCAGTTGTATCAGCTTACAAAGGAGTCTAATTAATAATCATCTCAATTCTACTGCAACAGAATCCATTACCGAAGTGCTGAATTTTTTGCATGTTAGAATAATGCTGGGGCGGCCATACACAAATTAGTTCTTGGTTGTTAGCTTTAATGCGTGGACCATGTGGAAAGTAAAAAAACAAAAAGTGATATGAAAAGGAGCATGATTAATACTCTTAAACCAAACAAGAAAAGAGAAAGAAGCACATCAAAACAAAACAATCATGTAGCAAAACACGTGTTAAAGAAAGGCCGAATGGCAAAACAAGAAAAGGACACCTCCAGTTTTCCCTGGGCTTGCAACCCGAGGCAAGATAGTCCACAAGATCCTGCTTGGTGAGTGGGTCCGTGACAACCACGGCATCTTCAGTGGGAGGGCTAGCAGCAACAATCACTCTTCCCCCACGTGTGGCAATCCTCTGCGTCGGAGAAGGCTTCTTAGCAGAAACCCAGGCAGAGCATGACAAAGTGTTGGCAGCAGAGGCTTTGGTTTCCCTATCGAAGTGTCGTCGGGATAAGTGGCTGTAGGAGTAGGTGGTGGTAGTTCGCGAAACGACTGCCATGGCGGTGGCCGGAAGGAGCGAAAGGCGGAGGAATGTTAGAAATCGGGAGAGAGAACAGCGAGGAAAACGGTTATTAGGGTTGAGGAATTGACTGTTAGCAGTGGAAGAAAGAAAGAAGAAGAGAAGAGAGAGTGGAGGAAAGTGTTTCTCTGGTATAGTCGGTGGGTCACAGCTTGGAGAAGCTTAGCTTCGTAGCTATCTCTTCTATTTCTCTCTTCGAATCAAAATGGAAGCAATATATTACCACCACACCACCACTCTCCTCTACTTAATATGCATTACGCACTATACTCTCTAAAATAACATTATTCTTCCAAACAATATTATTCAAATATTTAAAACATAAACTATTTCTCCATTTTTAAATAAAATCAAACTACAGTAATTTAAGATAATCAAATTATTATATTATGTAAAAAAAAGTAATGGGCGGAAATTTAGAGGTGAATCACGAGGAGATATTTGTTTTAGGGAGCATAAGACAAGAAAGTAGTACTATTATAATTTTATAAATAATATATATAGTTATAACTTATAAAGTTTATTCTATGATTCGAATTGTTGTGAGTGAGCAAAAGGGTCACGAGGCTTGAGCATGGTATAATGATTTAGACAATAAAGTAGTGAAGCACAATCTCTTCCATGGATGCCACATCATTCTTATTCTCTCCATTTAAACATATATATATATATATATATATATATATATATATATATATATATATTTCCCTTTTTTACTTACAAGGTATTCAACAATATCAGGGTTTTCTTATTAAGTTATCGATATTATTCGTGAGTAAGTAGATTATNGATTACGTAATACAATAATTATCGTAGTTCAAATAAATATTACAGAAAATAACTATCATGATAAATCCAGCATTGTTGGAAATGTTAATAGTTAATGCACATAAAGAATAGTATGGTCCAGAATAAATGATATATGCATTTATTATTCATGGGTATTGGTGCCTAGGGAGTGGCACTAAATTAATTATAGCCTAGAATACATCTCCAATAGTCTATCAAGAGTATATAGATACCGAAGATACCGAGAAACTGTATACTGCATTGTTTTGAATAATAAAGAAATTCTGATCTCTAAATTCTCTATGAAATGTTCTGTTCTATCTTACTCAAAATACCCATGTAAATTCAGCAAACATCACTAAAACAACAAATTATGCTCTATGCATACTGATTTTTTCTTCATATTCTTCAGTCTTGATGTAGTCATCATGGTAGTCCTTTTTCTTATAAGAAAAAAAAAACAGTAGTCCTTGAATTTTGTATTTAAGTACATCATTCAGTTTTTTAACCCCTTGAATTTCGGCCAAACCCTAAGTTAAAAAAAGGTCATAGAAGAAAATCATCAAGGAATGAGTTGGACGGTGTGGATATAATGGTATGATAGAACTATATTAGAGTCTGTTACAGCAATTTAATTACAGCTGTACTAACTATCTTATCTTTTCCTTCTTTTGTAAATGGTACCAAACCTATCACGGTAGCAGAAGAACTTCAGAGGCAAAAGTGTTAAAAATTCACAGTATCCTACTTAAGTAGAACAGTGACCCTCAATTTCATCACACCCGAACTCTCCTTTAATATCTGGTAAAAAATAGTTTTAGGGATCGGAATCTTATATCTCAAGTTTAAATGCCCTACGGGTATATTTCCCAATACATGTATTTTGGAAGCCAATAAGAAGGATAAGAAAATCAGCAAAAAGATAAAAAGTTCTCTTTTCAATGCTTCTTATAACATCAAAGTATTAAATGAAGCCTAGAATTAGAAAGGTTTGGAAAATATCTTACCCAAAAGAATCATCAAAGACAAAAGGCAGCATGCCTGTGCGGTCCTTGTCAGTATCGGTCCAAATATGGCTGTTCCGATCATATGACAAATGGTTAAGGCACCTTTACAAGGCAGAGTGTGAAAGGAAATGACTGCATGAAAACTTCTATGTACCTTCTCATGCTGACAAAACCATTTGGCTTTCCCTCTTTAAAAGCTGAATTCGCAAAAAGAGCCGTTGCTATCTGTCATAAAGATAACACTGATTACACCACACTGCACTGACCAAATTCCCTAACAAAAAAATGTGAATATTACTTACAGGCTGTAGAGCAAGGCCAGCACGAAATTTCCTGATCATGTCTGCTTCTGAACTAAAGTCCAGATTGACCTATAAAATTAAAAAAAAAAAATTACTATCCAGCATCAGAGCAGCTTACATTGTGTCAAAAGATACTGTTTTAACAAATTTAAATTAGGATGACTTTGTTAAAAGCAATCTTGAAAATCATCACATATATACCTGTACAGTGCATGTCCTGAACATCATGTCAAGCCCCAGAGAACCAACTTTAGGCATGTAATTCCTCATAATATCATATCTTCCCTGTGGCAACACATAGTCAGAAAGTAGGTGATTGAACAACCAAAGGTCAAGAATAAACTGTCTCATTTTCAGTTAAAACAAAGAATAGGACCCGCTGACAGAACTTCTCATATAACAAATAAAAATAAATAAAAAAACCACCAACAGGGATAGAACATTGAAAAACAAGGTTTAGCACAGAGACGAAATACAAGAGTGAGAGATAAGAAATTAAAATAAAATGGAAAGAAGAGCTTTAAGGTTGCCACAGTTTGGGTCATCAGAGTTGGAACTGGCAGCTGATGGTACAGGGAGAAGGGCTACAATTGGCCCACGCAAGCAGAAGAATGAAGAAAGGTTTTAAAACAATTTGCCTAAAAAAGGTCCAAATCCATTATGAAAGCCACAAAATGTGAAATGGCAGAAAGCAGCACAAAGCAGGAGGCAAGTGGCAGGGGGCAACGAAACTTCCCATAATTCCTTTAAGGCCCTATCATAACTGTTATTTAACAACTATGATAGATAGTGAATAGGTATGACTGAAATTTGACAGCTATGTAACCTGAAATCAGGAAACCCAACCAAATTCATGAAAAGACAACTAAAATGAGATGGTGCCTATGATGCACTGATACATATGTGTATCAGACAATACATGTCCGATATGGCAATACACTCATTCTGAAAATAACATGATACGATATATATACACATTGAAAAATGTATAAAAATTCCTAAAACTTGATAAATATACAATTGCATTGTTCACATCCAACTTAAAATCACATTTATTAGACATTGACACAAAAAATTATAAATTATTGTCATCATAAAAGTATTGGTCAAGTATCCTAGAGGACTGAATACTCATACGTGACACAAACTGAAGTATTGGTGTAACATAGGATGACATCTTTCTTTTATTAGCTTGGCAAAGTAATAACTGATGCAGTCAGGAAGTGACATCTGAGGAAGATTTTTATGCTGAGATATTAGTATCTGTTCAACATTTCAAGAAATTTAAATAGGGGTTGAAAGAAAAGTACTACCTTTGGCATTACAGGTATGTCTTTGATTCCCCACTTTGGCTGGAAACCAATTCCCAAAAATCCAATTCCCATTTCCTCAGCTACAGCTTTAACCTATAAACACAAGTATATGGAAATAATTACAGATCTGAAAGAAATAGGACCACTCATCAGATAACAGAAACATCAAACACACAAAACTAGCATTAAATTTAGCTATCTATCACGTCACAACTTAAAAAGATAAAAGACCACACCCACAATGGTATACATATTTATCCAAAAAAATAATGATTCCACAGAAAATCACACATTTATTTTGCTAACAGCAAAACAACAGATCTCCCTCACAAGAACATGTGGCCTACCTGATAAAGGTGGGAATTAACTTCAGCACAAGTCTGGTGCAAGGTTTCAAGGGGGGCTCCACTAAGTTCAAACTGACCACCGGGCTCCAATGATATGCTCTGCTTTCCCTGGTTCACATAAAGCACAAAAAAAATTCAAATCTTCAACTGTAACAATGCATGCAATTTAAACAAATGAATTAAACTGTAATTGCCCAAGAAATGTTTGACATTCTTGTTCATTCAAAATTTAACTAACCTGTTTGAGTCCAATAATTTTATCACCTTCCATTATTTTATCCCAGTCAAATCTCTCAGCGATTCCATTCAATAATTCTGCTATTTGCTCATACTTCATAGGACGCAAACTTCCAAACTCAAAACCAAACTTCTCGTGTTCAGTACCTATTCTGCTAGACAAGATAAAGGAATTAACCACTTATAGACATACAAAGTAGTCATCAACATCACAGACACCTCAAATTTTAAACCTTCAAGAAAATTAGTGAGGTGCTATATAAACTTAACTAAAATCACAAACAAGAAAAGAAAATATAAAGATAAAGGTCTCCTCGTAATAAACAAACACGAGACCAGGGGAAAATGTTTTTCCTCTGTCTATTTGAGCATTGGTCCAGTGTGGATGACTGCTCCAGCAATTGAAGCATTTTTATTTTTATTTTTCTTTCATTTATAATTGTCAAAACCAAGGGTTTAAAATGATAGTTGTGATTGTGATTGTGGTTATTGTTGCAGTTTTATGGTGATCCTTGATATTGCAGATAATTACAGACAAATGTGGAAGTTGTCAGAGGCAATGGCAGTAGCTGGACCGCAAAAACCTCCGTGTTACAGTTGCAATTACGGTCACAGATACTTACATTCTCTACGTTGTAACCCGTATTCTATCGGGGGACCAGCAATAGTCACATTGTTGCTGAAATAGAAAATGAAACCAGGACAAAAAACAAGACTTACTACATTAGAACCATAAACCAAGTCAGCGCAGTTGTATCAGCTTACAAAGGAGTCTAATTAATAATCATCTCAATTCTACTGCAACAGAATCCATTACCGAAGTGCTGAATTTTTTGCATGTTAGAATAATGCTGGGGCGGCCATACACAAATTAGTTCTTGGTTGTTAGCTTTAATGCGTGGACCATGTGGAAAGTAAAAAAAAAAAAAGTGATATGAAAAGGAGCATGATTAATACTCTTAAACCAAACAAGAAAAGAGAAAGAAGCACATCAAAACAAAACAATCATGTAGCAAAACACGTGTTAAAGAAAGGCCGAATGGCAAAACAAGAAAAGGACACCTCCAGTTTTCCCTGGGCTTGCAACCCGAGGCAAGATAGTCCACAAGATCCTGCTTGGTGAGTGGGTCCGTGACAACCACGGCATCTTCAGTGGGAGGGCTAGCAGCAACAATCACTCTTCCCCCACGTGTGGCAATCCTCTGCGTCGGAGAAGGCTTCTTAGCAGAAACCCAGGCAGAGCATGACAAAGTGTTGGCAGCAGAGGCTTTGGTTTCCCTATCGAAGTGTCGTCGGGATAAGTGGCTGTAGGAGTAGGTGGTGGTAGTTCGCGAAACGACTGCCATGGCGGTGGCCGGAAGGAGCGAAAGGCGGAGGAATGTTAGAAATCGGGAGAGAGAACAGCGAGGAAAACGGTTATTAGGGTTGAGGAATTGACTGTTAGCAGTGGAAGAAAGAAAGAAGAAGAGAAGAGAGAGTGGAGGAAAGTGTTTCTCTGGTACAGTCGGTGGGTCACAGCTTGGAGAAGCTTAGCTTCGTAGCTATCTCTTCTATTTCTCTCTTCGAATCAAAATGGAAGCAATATATTACCACCACACCACCACTCTCCTCTACTTAATATGCATTACGCACTATACTCTCTAAAATAACATTATTCTTCCAAACAATATTATTCAAATATTTAAAACATAAACTATTTCTCCATTTTTAAATAAAATCAAACTACAGTAATTTAAGATAATCAAATTATTATATTATGTAAAAAAAAGTAATGGGCGGAAATTTAGAGGTGAATCACGAGGAGATATTTGTTTTAGGGAGCATAAGACAAGAAAGTAGTACTATTATAATTTTATAAATAATATATATAGTTATAACTTATAAAGTTTATTCTATGATTCGAATTGTTGTGAGTGAGCAAAAGGGTCACGAGGCTTGAGCATGGTATAATGATTTAGACAATAAAGTAGTGAAGCACAATCTCTTCCATGGATGCCACATCATTCTTATTCTCTCCATTTAAACATATATATATATATATATATATATATATATATATATATATATATATTTCCCTTTTTTACTTACAAGGTATTCAACAATATCAGGGTTTTCTTATTAAGTTATCGATATTATTCGTGAGTAAGTAGATTATAATCCCCGTTTAAAAATAATAATAGTGATTGAAAAAAAAAACTTAATTGGTGCAAATTGGGAAGAAGATTTGTTTAGCCTTTTATGGTATAATTTTAATATAAATATCAGTTGCTTTATAATAGAAAAGGAAAATATAGTTAAATTTGGTGATCATGGCACCTACATAATATCTCATGGTCTTTTTTTAAATTCGTACATACTTTTTTTTATATACTTGCAATTATTTCGTGTTATTATATAATACAGAGAGGGATTTAGTTATATTCCAAGAGTTTGAAATTTTGAGTATTTTTGGCTTTTTTCTAATTGAAAAAAATAGTCTCTGGAAATAAATAAAAAATTGAACATTATTTTAGTTATAATTTTTTAATGTTTATGTCTGATTGAAAAAAAAATAGTATATTTTAAAATTATCAAAATCGATATAATTTAAAAAATGAATTATTAAAAAAATAACATTGTTATTTATTTCCCATTATACTAAAGTAATGGAATTAATCTGTTAAATGTATATAAAGAATGAATAGTGATAAGATATCTCTCTCAAGTGTCATATTCTTAAATATATATTAAATTCTCAAATATATACTCATTTGATAACTCCTTTAATAATATAATAATATGTATTAAAATTTCAAGTTAAAAAATAAATATAATTAAAATATTATGGTTTTAAGTTATAGTATGGGATTTTTTTTAAGTAAAGAAAAGCAAAAAATAGTGTAAGATATGTATTTTTTTTTTCAGAAATTGTTATCTTGATCCTATTAATAGAGTATGGCGGACAAAACAATTTTGGTTAGTTCTTGATCATTTCAAGTCAACAATATAGAATATAGAAAAATAGAATGGGTTTTTACGTGTGCACACACGCAAGCAAAAATTGTGACATTTTGAGTACCCAGAATCATTGTCATTTTAAATAGTCTAATTGCTTTTCTTGGGTGAATCTCATTTCCCACTTTCATATAATCATCATTAGGGGGTGCTATGAAAGAATAGAATAAAATTAAGACTAAGTGTTATTTTTAACTTTTTTAACTACTAAATTTTAAAAATCTTAATATAATATTATTATTTTTACAGTTTATTTTAATTAATAGGTTAACAGAGTTGTTTTACTTGCATATGTTTTTCATTTAGATTTTTTTTTCGGTTTAATTCAAATATTAAAAACACGCCAGTTGTTTTTATCAATCTGTTTTAAACGTGTTTTTCTGTAATAGTGTAATAATTTATTGAAATTGTAAATGGTTAAATTGAGATTGTTGATTGTATTAAAACTGAAAACAAACAAAGTTTAAAACTACAAATAATATTTGACCTAAAAATAATTATTATGTTTGAGCACTAATTCCAAAGTTCATGCACTATAACCGATAACTTGAGTTGACTGGAAAAGCATTTGGCTAGGTTCGAAGTTAATGACTTTTAACCATTCATCTTGGACACACGTGAGGGAGAAATTATCAAAGCGGTCAAAATTTATTTTCAAATTATGAGAATGGACATTTAAATTAATAAGTTGTGTTCATGAAGCAGGAATTTGTTCAGAATAAGTCCTGTTTTATAAAAATGACTTTAAGATTAGAGTTAAATTTGCATAGAAATTATAATTCTCGGTCAACTTTGGTGATGATACAATGTATGAAAGAAGCGTGACTGTTATTAGTTTAAGCATGTGTTAAGCACAAATTTTAGATTTTCTTTAATTAAAGTGGTTTCTGAATGATATGATTTATGTGCTTTTAGTATTTAAGAAGTTATATAGGTAACACGAATTCTTGATTTTTGCACTGTATTGAATGCGGATAGTCATTAATATAGAATGCACTTATAACGTTTATATTAAAAAAATGTCAGTTTAGAAAAAAAAAGAGAGTCAGTGTTAAAAGTGATTGATGGTTTTCTTTACAAGAAAGAGCTTGATGTTGGATTATGGAAGGATCGATGTCATGTTTAAATTAGATGTGAGTTTATTAGAGATTAACGTGTAATGATATTTAAAATAACAAAAAGTTTGTAATTAAAAATATTTTTTTTATATCTTTTAAATGTCATATCTATTAAGGTCTTGTTCTTTTGAGTGAATTTGAGGGAGTGGATTTGATGAGATTTGAGAGTATTTGAAGATAATTTTTTTTATCGTTTTTTTGAGCGAATTTGGAGGTAAATGAGAGTGAATTTGAAAATAAAATGTGTGACAATTAATATAGAATTATATTGACGTGACAAATTAAAAAAAAATTATTTTCAAATTCACTTTCATTTACTTCCAAATTCGCTCAAAAAAACGACAAAAAAAAGTATCTTCAATTCCTCTCAAATCCCCTCAAATTCATTCCCTCAAATCTACTCAAAAGAACAAGCCCTAAATGTTATTATTGGAAGTAGACGTCTAATGATATTTAAAATAATAAAAAAATTATTTCAAAATTATCTTTTATGTACTCTTTAAACGTTATATCCATGGGAGTCAACATTATGTCTTATTAGACGTTACGTTATCGGGGTTTTTTTTTTTATTTTTTTTTTAAATTTTTAAAAATTTTTTTTTTAAATTTTTTTTTTTTTTTTTTTTTTTTTTTTTCCCCTTATTGTTTTATTTTTTTTTTTTCTCTTTATTTTTTATTTTTTTTTTTTTTTTTTAAATTAAATTAAAAAAACAGTATGAGAGCATCTCTCTTTTACTATTTCTTCACTCTCCCATCCCAGACCTCCTAATAGTTGGGGTGACTCATGCGACCACAACCAAAGATGAGTTTTCTTTCATTTAACGCAAATGCATGATGCTTGGATGTCTTGGGGTTATTTTCTTTCGCTTTCACCAATGCTTTTGTTCATGGACTGTGTTTTGAAACCCCAAGCTAGCGGTGCGATTTCTCCTTTCTTCATCGCCAATGATGACTTCTCCACCATCTCCGACTTCATCAAGATTTGTCATGTACACTAAAGAAGAATAAGACCACTAAGAAAAAACATTTGGAAGAAACCATCAACATTTTTTAATCTTCCATATTGGTGTAAATTTGACGTGTGACATTGTATATATGTGATGTACGTTGAACAAATTATAAGTGATAGTGTCATTAGGACTTTACTAGACATAAAAGGAAAGACAAAAGATAGAGTAAAAGCATGAAAAATTTTGGTTTACATGGACATTCATTTTGAGTTACATCCACAGTCAATTAGAAGACACACCTACTTGCCCCTAACCCGTCACACNCACAAAACTAGCATTAAATTTAGCTATCTATCACGTCACAACTTAAAAAGATAAAAGACCACACCCACAATGGTATACATATTTATCCAAAAAAATAATGATTCCACAGAAAATCACACATTTATTTTGCTAACAGCAAAACAACAGATCTCCCTCACAAGAACATGTGGCCTACCTGATAAAGGTGGGAATTAACTTCAGCACAAGTCTGGTGCAAGGTTTCAAGGGGGGCTCCACTAAGTTCAAACTGACCACCGGGCTCCAATGATATGCTCTGCTTTCCCTGGTTCACATAAAGCACAAAAAAAATTCAAATCTTCAACTGTAACAATGCATGCAATTTAAACAAATGAATTAAACTGTAATTGCCCAAGAAATGTTTGACATTCTTGTTCATTCAAAATTTAACTAACCTGTTTGAGTCCAATAATTTTATCACCTTCCATTATTTTATCCCAGTCAAATCTCTCAGCGATTCCATTCAATAATTCTGCTATTTGCTCATACTTCATAGGACGCAAACTTCCAAACTCAAAACCAAACTTCTCGTGTTCAGTACCTATTCTGCTAGACAAGATAAAGGAATTAACCACTTATAGACATACAAAGTAGTCATCAACATCACAGACACCTCAAATTTTAAACCTTCAAGAAAATTAGTGAGGTGCTATATAAACTTAACTAAAATCACAAACAAGAAAAGAAAATATAAAGATAAAGGTCTCCTCGTAATAAACAAACACGAGACCAGGGGAAAATGTTTTTCCTCTGTCTATTTGAGCATTGGTCCAGTGTGGATGACTGCTCCAGCAATTGAAGCATTTTTATTTTTATTTTTCTTTCATTTATAATTGTCAAAACCAAGGGTTTAAAATGATAGTTGTGATTGTGATTGTGGTTATTGTTGCAGTTTTATGGTGATCCTTGATATTGCAGATAATTACAGACAAATGTGGAAGTTGTCAGAGGCAATGGCAGTAGCTGGACCGCAAAAACCTCCGTGTTACAGTTGCAATTACGGTCACAGATACTTACATTCTCTACGTTGTAACCCGTATTCTATCGGGGGACCAGCAATAGTCACATTGTTGCTGAAATAGAAAATGAAACCAGGACAAAAAACAAGACTTACTACATTAGAACCATAAACCAAGTCAGCGCAGTTGTATCAGCTTACAAAGGAGTCTAATTAATAATCATCTCAATTCTACTGCAACAGAATCCATTACCGAAGTGCTGAATTTTTTGCATGTTAGAATAATGCTGGGGCGGCCATACACAAATTAGTTCTTGGTTGTTAGCTTTAATGCGTGGACCATGTGGAAAGTAAAAAAAAAAAAAGTGATATGAAAAGGAGCATGATTAATACTCTTAAACCAAACAAGAAAAGAGAAAGAAGCACATCAAAACAAAACAATCATGTAGCAAAACACGTGTTAAAGAAAGGCCGAATGGCAAAACAAGAAAAGGACACCTCCAGTTTTCCCTGGGCTTGCAACCCGAGGCAAGATAGTCCACAAGATCCTGCTTGGTGAGTGGGTCCGTGACAACCACGGCATCTTCAGTGGGAGGGCTAGCAGCAACAATCACTCTTCCCCCACGTGTGGCAATCCTCTGCGTCGGAGAAGGCTTCTTAGCAGAAACCCAGGCAGAGCATGACAAAGTGTTGGCAGCAGAGGCTTTGGTTTCCCTATCGAAGTGTCGTCGGGATAAGTGGCTGTAGGAGTAGGTGGTGGTAGTTCGCGAAACGACTGCCATGGCGGTGGCCGGAAGGAGCGAAAGGCGGAGGAATGTTAGAAATCGGGAGAGAGAACAGCGAGGAAAACGGTTATTAGGGTTGAGGAATTGACTGTTAGCAGTGGAAGAAAGAAAGAAGAAGAGAAGAGAGAGTGGAGGAAAGTGTTTCTCTGGTACAGTCGGTGGGTCACAGCTTGGAGAAGCTTAGCTTCGTAGCTATCTCTTCTATTTCTCTCTTCGAATCAAAATGGAAGCAATATATTACCACCACACCACCACTCTCCTCTACTTAATATGCATTACGCACTATACTCTCTAAAATAACATTATTCTTCCAAACAATATTATTCAAATATTTAAAACATAAACTATTTCTCCATTTTTAAATAAAATCAAACTACAGTAATTTAAGATAATCAAATTATTATATTATGTAAAAAAAAGTAATGGGCGGAAATTTAGAGGTGAATCACGAGGAGATATTTGTTTTAGGGAGCATAAGACAAGAAAGTAGTACTATTATAATTTTATAAATAATATATATAGTTATAACTTATAAAGTTTATTCTATGATTCGAATTGTTGTGAGTGAGCAAAAGGGTCACGAGGCTTGAGCATGGTATAATGATTTAGACAATAAAGTAGTGAAGCACAATCTCTTCCATGGATGCCACATCATTCTTATTCTCTCCATTTAAACATATATATATATATATATATATATATATATATATATATATATATATTTCCCTTTTTTACTTACAAGGTATTCAACAATATCAGGGTTTTCTTATTAAGTTATCGATATTATTCGTGAGTAAGTAGATTATAATCCCCGTTTAAAAATAATAATAGTGATTGAAAAAAAAAACTTAATTGGTGCAAATTGGGAAGAAGATTTGTTTAGCCTTTTATGGTATAATTTTAATATAAATATCAGTTGCTTTATAATAGAAAAGGAAAATATAGTTAAATTTGGTGATCATGGCACCTACATAATATCTCATGGTCTTTTTTTAAATTCGTACATACTTTTTTTTATATACTTGCAATTATTTCGTGTTATTATATAATACAGAGAGGGATTTAGTTATATTCCAAGAGTTTGAAATTTTGAGTATTTTTGGCTTTTTTCTAATTGAAAAAAATAGTCTCTGGAAATAAATAAAAAATTGAACATTATTTTAGTTATAATTTTTTAATGTTTATGTCTGATTGAAAAAAAAATAGTATATTTTAAAATTATCAAAATCGATATAATTTAAAAAATGAATTATTAAAAAAATAACATTGTTATTTATTTCCCATTATACTAAAGTAATGGAATTAATCTGTTAAATGTATATAAAGAATGAATAGTGATAAGATATCTCTCTCAAGTGTCATATTCTTAAATATATATTAAATTCTCAAATATATACTCATTTGATAACTCCTTTAATAATATAATAATATGTATTAAAATTTCAAGTTAAAAAATAAATATAATTAAAATATTATGGTTTTAAGTTATAGTATGGGATTTTTTTTAAGTAAAGAAAAGCAAAAAATAGTGTAAGATATGTATTTTTTTTTTCAGAAATTGTTATCTTGATCCTATTAATAGAGTATGGCGGACAAAACAATTTTGGTTAGTTCTTGATCATTTCAAGTCAACAATATAGAATATAGAAAAATAGAATGGGTTTTTACGTGTGCACACACGCAAGCAAAAATTGTGACATTTTGAGTACCCAGAATCATTGTCATTTTAAATAGTCTAATTGCTTTTCTTGGGTGAATCTCATTTCCCACTTTCATATAATCATCATTAGGGGGTGCTATGAAAGAATAGAATAAAATTAAGACTAAGTGTTATTTTTAACTTTTTTAACTACTAAATTTTAAAAATCTTAATATAATATTATTATTTTTACAGTTTATTTTAATTAATAGGTTAACAGAGTTGTTTTACTTGCATATGTTTTTCATTTAGATTTTTTTTTCGGTTTAATTCAAATATTAAAAACACGCCAGTTGTTTTTATCAATCTGTTTTAAACGTGTTTTTCTGTAATAGTGTAATAATTTATTGAAATTGTAAATGGTTAAATTGAGATTGTTGATTGTATTAAAACTGAAAACAAACAAAGTTTAAAACTACAAATAATATTTGACCTAAAAATAATTATTATGTTTGAGCACTAATTCCAAAGTTCATGCACTATAACCGATAACTTGAGTTGACTGGAAAAGCATTTGGCTAGGTTCGAAGTTAATGACTTTTAACCATTCATCTTGGACACACGTGAGGGAGAAATTATCAAAGCGGTCAAAATTTATTTTCAAATTATGAGAATGGACATTTAAATTAATAAGTTGTGTTCATGAAGCAGGAATTTGTTCAGAATAAGTCCTGTTTGATAAAAATGACTTTAAGATTAGAGTTAAATTTGCATAGAAATTATAATTCTCGGTCAACTTTGGTGATGATACAATGTATGAAAGAAGCGTGACTGTTATTAGTTTAAGCATGTGTTAAGCACAAATTTTAGATTTTCTTTAATTAAAGTGGTTTCTGAATGATATGATTTATGTGCTTTTAGTATTTAAGAAGTTATATAGGTAACACGAATTCTTGATTTTTGCACTGTATTGAATGCGGATAGTCATTAATATAGAATGCACTTATAACGTTTATATTAAAAAAATGTCAGTTTAGAAAAAAAAAGAGAGTCAGTGTTAAAAGTGATTGATGGTTTTCTTTACAAGAAAGAGCTTGATGTTGGATTATGGAAGGATCGATGTCATGTTTAAATTAGATGTGAGTTTATTAGAGATTAACGTGTAATGATATTTAAAATAACAAAAAGTTTGTAATTAAAAATATTTTTTTTATATCTTTTAAATGTCATATCTATTAAGGTCTTGTTCTTTTGAGTGAATTTGAGGGAGTGGATTTGATGAGATTTGAGAGTATTTGAAGATAATTTTTTTTATCGTTTTTTTGAGCGAATTTGGAGGTAAATGAGAGTGAATTTGAAAATAAAATGTGTGACAATTAATATAGAATTATATTGACGTGACAAATTAAAAAAAAATTATTTTCAAATTCACTTTCATTTACTTCCAAATTCGCTCAAAAAAACGACAAAAAAAAGTATCTTCAATTCCTCTCAAATCCCCTCAAATTCATTCCCTCAAATCTACTCAAAAGAACAAGCCCTAAATGTTATTATTGGAAGTAGACGTCTAATGATATTTAAAATAATAAAAAAATTATTTCAAAATTATCTTTTATGTACTCTTTAAACGTTATATCCATGGGAGTCAACATTATGTCTTATTAGACGTTACGTTATCGGGGGATAGACATCTAATGATATTTTAAAACATTAAAAAATATAGCATGAAAATCATTTTCATGTACTCTTTAGATTTTGACCCCCCAATGGCTTAATTGACTTCGACCCCCACAATCATCAATGACATATGTTGATTAGAAAATAAAATAAAAAAACAGTATGAGAGCATCTCTCTTTTACTATTTCTTCACTCTCCCATCCCAGACCTCCTAATAGTTGGGGTGACTCATGCGACCACAACCAAAGATGAGTTTTCTTTCATTTAACGCAAATGCATGATGCTTGGATGTCTTGGGGTTATTTTCTTTCGCTTTCACCAATGCTTTTGTTCATGGACTGTGTTTTGAAACCCCAAGCTAGCGGTGCGATTTCTCCTTTCTTCATCGCCAATGATGACTTCTCCACCATCTCCGACTTCATCAAGATTTGTCATGTACACTAAAGAAGAATAAGACCACTAAGAAAAAACATTTGGAAGAAACCATCAACATTTTTTAATCTTCCATATTGGTGTAAATTTGACGTGTGACATTGTATATATGTGATGTACGTTGAACAAATTATAAGTGATAGTGTCATTAGGACTTTACTAGACATAAAAGGAAAGACAAAAGATAGAGTAAAAGCATGAAAAATTTTGGTTTACATGGACATTCATTTTGAGTTACATCCACAGTCAATTAGAAGACACACCTACTTGCCCCTAACCCGTCACACTATTTCTAAAATAGAAAAACAAATTTTTTGTTGGTTGTTGGTGTTTAAGTAGTGTGAAGGTCTCACAAGGTTATTCTTCAGAAATGAGATATCTTGATATACTACCAATCATTCAAGTCATGTAGAAATGAATGGGCTGGAGGAAAGAGTGGCAGGAGGTCCTAACCCTAAACTTTTTTTCCCGGGTGTGAAATTGACTAACATTGTAAGTAGTAGGATGATAACTTGTGGGTTTATGACTTTGATAGCATAAATACTGCTATAAGTGCACACCTATACTGAAGCCCTTTATCAAAGGCATCATCTAGATGATTGAGTCTAATATTAATACTTTGTGCGAATAACTGATTTATGATACGTTATATATGTTTAATTGATAAATTGATATATTGTGATTGTTTTAGGTCAAATCCAGTGCACATTAGATTATCATTTACTCTTTTGTGTTTCACTATATTTTTTATATGATCACTGTAGGGTGTTAGCAAATGTTAAGATAGGTGATTATTTGTCTATGATGGACATAAAGGAAGTGACATAATAGTTAATTATTGTGTATGGGAGTATTTTCTTTCTGATAAACTCTTATAGTTATCATTGGATGTGTACATATTATATTACTATGGTTATGACGGTGGATAACGGTACTAATATTGTATATGTTTTGTAGTTATCAATTTTATAATGTTTTATTTAGTGTTTTTTACTACTTATTGGGATGTTACAATTGTCATAAGTGTAATTTTATCAGTATAATTATATAAATAAATTTTATTTACTATAATATAATAATTTAATATAAATGTCATGAATATTGTTTATCATTATCTAAAGTTCAAAAGATGAAAGATGTATGTTAAATTTCAATTACTATTAGTTTAATATTTATTCTTTGTATGATTTTGGGTGATGTATTATAACTTTTATTAGTGTGTAAAAAAAGAATTTTCATTCGAATTTAAAAAATTGAAGTAAAGAAATATTTAAAATACTTTTTAATCTAAATATTTTTTTCCTTTTATACTTTTTAAAAAATATTTTTAAATTTCATAACTAAGTTTTATTAACGTTTGCAAATTTAATAAATGTTTTAATTCTCATGCAATTTTATTTAACATTTTAAATTGAAATGTATATAATTATAATTTTTTATAAAAAAATTTATATTGAAGAAACTAAAATATTTACTTTTGATATTGAATATT